GGTCTAGGACACAGACATTCAAAATTAGGCTTTTCATGATTTGGTGGAGCTACTACTGAGTGTGGCTGAACACAGGTCCTTAGTTCAGATTCTGTGATCCCAGGGCAGAAGGTACGGGGCCCTTCAAAGGAAGAGGAAAGGGCTATTGTAGGTACAGCTGATGCATTCTTGAGAACGTTTCAGTTCAGCTTTACCATGGAGGAATTCTGTTAAGTTCGAATCCTCCACTGTGTAAGCCTAACTAATAACACAGATTGGTTCCTAAATTTCTTCATAGCGGAGATCAGTTTAAATATACAAGAAATGTTCTGTCCAGTTTTCTTCTGATATAGTGTTGGTATCCATCTGTGGGTTCAATCCACTCCATTACGATGTCTTTTATACAGAATCCTTTGGGGATGTGAAGCCTTTGATTCACAGTTTGCAATACAAATACCCTGATACATCATTTATTTGCTATTAAGTATTTGATTATTATGCCTTTCTAAATTCAATATCTTTAGACCAAGTTTTTAATTAGTGTTCCTTGGAGCAGTTCAGAGTATTTTTTTTTGTAACCCTTTAAATTACAAGTCTGCTTTGTATTTTCCTTCTCTCAGAGAGTTTAAAATCTACTGTCCTAGGTAATCAGAGGCCACAGATACTGAGTAGACACATCTCCCCCCATGAAAACAAAAGGAAGAAATTGATTTTGTAACAGAATATATTAAAAATTTAAATCCAGGATTCACTTTTAAAACAGAAATGAAACCACTGACTACCAAATGTGGTTTGATAGCCACTTTTAGATCCCAAACTTCTAAGAAACTTTCCCATATTAACTCAGTCTTAAGTCTCAGGAAATAAAATAATTATGGAGTTGAACATAGATCCCTATAGAAACAAATACTGTGTTTACAATGTTCCAATCTATTAAAATCAATGACAGACATAAATCATGAGAACTAAAACCCAAGCCAAGTGGCCTAGCTCTCACCATCTGCCCATTCCCCGTCCAGTGACAGTAAACATCCTATTGGAATCTGCTCTGAAAACAAAGGCTTTACCTACCTAATGTCAAGGTAAACAGGTAGTAAATACCTACTTCATACAACTAACCAGAGGTACCATTTGCATTCTTTAGGGTCTAAACACAACTAAAAGTTGGCATTTTTTCCTTTGAAAGAAACCTTCAAAATGACACCATTGTAATATTGCTCTTTACTTGGTAATTTTTAAAAACAAATTATTAGGTGCTGTTTCACATTGAATTAAATTTCTTTTAGCCACTGACCATTTGAGTTAAAGGAAATAAATAAAGATTTTACTATTCAGAAAAAAACCCAAGTTTCCTATATTTTACGTTAAATGCCATCCCCCCAAATTAAGAGCTACACAGAATAAAAGCCTCATCGATTTAAGCTACAATAGTCCTGAAGTCAAGGTCATAAAATACTTCTACTCTGTAAATCATGCAAAGAAAAAAAGTAAGGAAAACGTATTTTCAGCACCAAGAATAGACTTATTAGGAACATAGTTCTCTCTTGAAAGGGGCACTGTAAGTTGTAATAGGTGATGGCATACCTTCAGTTCTCTGAAGAAGATGCTACTCCTGGCCCACTCGACAATGGAGAAGAGGGTTTGATCTGCCATTTTGCACATAAGCCCAAATGTGCTCAACTTTTCGTGCTTGCTTCGGTTAGCCTGCTCTTGCTGCAAATAGGCCATGATTTTGGCCTGGACTTGAGGCTCATCTGGCTCACACTTCAAAAGTTCCAATATCAGATGTGGAATGCTTGCTGGGGAGCTTGTCTGGTAACTATCCATATAGGAATAGCCCATTATTGACTCGGGTGAGCTGGTGTAGGGGTCTGGGTACTCAGATTTGATGGCCCGGCTAGGAAAGTGGCCGTATGTTTGGTAACCTTGCAGGCTGCCATGAGGGGGCATTGTCATGCTAATGGGGGAAGTTACAAAGGGACTTCTGTCATAGTCTGTAGGAGGCAAGGCAGCATGGTTCAGAGGTAGGCCTTTGGAGGCGGAATGGATGTTCTGAATTGCAGAGGAGATGGTCAGGTCAGAGGGCATTGCTTGGATCACCTGAGACATGGCTTCTAGCTTAAGTCCATTGGCTCGGATGAGGGCTTTTTTCTGTTGTTTCAGGGCCCTGTCTCTCTTGTACATTGGTCCAAACTTATTCCTCCCTCCACGCATCCGGTCAGCCCTTACCGCTTCTAGCTTCATTCCAACACTTAGACATTTTTGAAATCGACAATAAGGACAACGCTTTCTCTGGGTTTTGTCAATTTGGCAGTTCTGGTTTTCTATACACGTGTACCTCTTATTATTCTGGACTGTTCGCTTAAAAAATTCCTTGCAGCTTTCACAGGTGAGGAGCCCATAATGGTACCCAGATACTTTATCTCCACACACTGGACAAAGCTCTTCAAGATCTTCATCATAGGCGTAATTCACCATTTTAAATTGAGACACTTGCATGTTTTCCGGCATCTGCCCCTGTTCCCCATGCGATCGAGCCAGTCCCAGGGCTTCCGTCTCCACTTTGGGCAGCATGACAAGGCAGCCGCGGGCGGGAATGGGAGTTCCGTGTCGGTCCGGAAGCCCAGCACCTGTCGCTCGCTGTCACAAGTGCGGAGTTGTGAAGTTCCAACCTCCCCCTCCTGCCTCGATTACTCCTCTCGCGTGTCCGAGAGCAGCCCTTTCCAGGCTCGAGGGTGTCGGTGCTGGGGAGGAAAGGGGGAAGACGAGGAGGAGAAGGGAGGTAAGTAGGACCCCCCCTCTTTTTTTTTGCCAGCTAAAATACCCTGAGAGTTATCTGTCTTGCATATAATTTTCCTTTTTTTCTTTCTTTTTTCCTTCGCAACTACCTCTCTATTTTGTGTGTGCTTCTTTTAGTACAGTTCAAATTGTATGCAAATATAAAGAAAGCACTGATAGATACCACTCTTCTCACCCACTTATCTTATATTAGTAAAATCTTATATGAAATCTCATCTGAGTAAGTATCTAAAACCGAAGGCCTGAGCTCATTGCTGAAACTGTCGGTAAATCCTGATGCTAACAGCTCAGAGAGAGACACCACCAGAATCTTCTCCATCCATCCCTCCACCTCTCCTTAAGTGTTTACTAAATATCTACTATGCGCTCTATAATAAAGTAAACTAAAGTATTTAGAAAATAGTTACTGCCTGTGAGGGATTTATTGTTTAGCTGAGAAGATGGCCACCTTGGAACAATTATTGAAAAATATCAACCATCTATAATTGACAGCTATAACCGTAAGGAGGATTTACATTGGCTGGAATAGTGGAAGAAAGCTTCAAAAGAACAATTGCATGTTCAAGGATGGATAAGATCTGAGCAGGCAGATGAAAGAGAGTATGAGTGAATGTAAGAAGGCAGAAATAACATGTTCTGTAAGGAAAGTCATATTGAAAATCACTTTGGAATTGCTGACTAACTCAAGATTTACTGCCGTGGGGAGAGTGTGTGGAAGATGGAATGAGCAAAGGGCAGGGATCTGTTTGGGAGAAGGACAAGGATAAGAGGAGAGCTTGTGCAAGCCTTTTAAACTACCCTTGCAAAGAAACCTTCATGCTAGTAATTGCATTGGCTCAAAAAATTGTCTCCCTCTCTAAAAAGAATTAAATGCAAAGAAGATTAACAGTATGTCCCTGTTGTTCAGTAACAGACCACTATGACCACTCCACAATGATACAAAAGATTTTGAGACTCCTGTTTATTGTACAGGAATACTATTCTCTAACGGTGGCAGAATAACTATGTTTATTGTCTTGGTGTTATATATGTCTGCTTTGATTTTAGAAATAGACAAGCTCATAATTATAGTTGGAGCTTTCAATACTCTTCTCTCAATAACTGATAGAACAAATAGAAAATCAGTAATAATATAGAAGACCTGACCAACGCTGATGCAGTTTGGATATGTTGTCCCCTCAAAGTTTATGTTGAAATTTGATCCCTAATGTGGCAGTGTTGGGAGGTGTTTGGATAATGGGGGGCAGATCCCTCATAAATACATTAATGCCTGCCCTGTGGGGAGGCGAGCGTGGTGGGTTCTCACTCTATTAGTTCCCATGGGAGCTTGCTTCTTCTTGCCATGTGACCTCCTTGTACCTGCTGGCTGCCTGCCGTTTTCTGCCATGAGTAGAAGCAGCCTGAGTCCTGTGCCAGGTGCGGCTAACCCAGAATTGTGAGCCAAATAAACCTCTGTTCTTTCTTTTTTTTAGCATAGTTATTTTTATTTATTTATTTATTTTTATTTTAACTTCTCAATATACATTGTAGTTGATTTTCATGTCCTTTTATCTGTTCCTCTAACCTCTTTTCTTTCTACATTACCCAGTTTCAGGTATTCTGTTATAACAACACAAAAATGGACTAATACCAACTCTATCAACCAATTTGACCTAACTGACATTTATAGAACACTGAACAATAGAAGAATACTCTTTCTTTTTAGATATACATGGAACATTTACTAAGATACACCATATTCTGGGGCATAAAACATGTCTCAATCTCAATAAACTAAAAATGTTTAAGTTATACAATGGAATTAAATCAGAAATGATAACAGAAAGATCTCTAGAAAATCTCCAAATATTTAGAAACTAAAAAAATAATAATAATAAAATCTAAATAACCCATGATATAAAAGGGAAATTAGAAAGCATTTTGAACAAAATGTAAATGAAAACATAATATGTCAAAATTCATGGGGCAGAACCAAAACTACATAGAGGAAAATTAATAGCACTAAAGGCCTGTATTTTAAAAAATTGATATACATACAATGTAATACTATTCAGCCTTTTAAAAGAAGGAAATTCTGCAATATGTGACAACATGGATGAACCTTGAGGACATTATGCTGAGTGACATAAGCCAGTTACAGAAAGACAAATATTGTATGATTTCATTATAAGAGGTATCTAAAGAAGTCAAATTCATAGAATCAAAGAGTGGACTAGTGATTGTCAGGGCCTGGGGAAAGGAGAAATGGGCAGTTACTAAACAATGGGCATAAAGTTTCAGTCAAGCAAGATAAATAAGTCCTAGAGATCTGATGTACAGCATTGCACCTACAGTCAATAATAATGTAATATATACTTAAAATTTTGTTGAGATGGTAGATCTCATATTGTGTTCTGACCACAATAAAAATAAGACAAAAAGAGGAAAAAAGTCTTAAATCAACGGACTCAGCTTCCACACTAACAAACTAGAAAAAGAAGAGCAAGTTAAATGCAAAGTACAACAAGGCCAAGGGCTTGGATCCCATATCAACTAGCTGCAAAAAAAAAAAAAAAAGAAGAAGCAAAATAAACAGAAGGAAATAACATGGATCAGAGAAGAAATTAATTAAATAGAACACACAAAAAAAGAGAAAAATAGTCAATTAAACCAAACACTAGTTTTTTATAAAAAGATCCATAAAATAGATAAATCTTCAGCTAGACTGATTAGGGGGGAGAGAGAGAGAGAGAGAGAGAGAGAGAGAGAAACACAAATGACCAATATCAAGAATGAGAAATTCTAAAGATATTAAAGGAACAATAAGGGAATGTTATGTATAAATTTATCCCAATAAATATAACAAGTTAGACAAAATGAAAAAATTCCTTGAAAGACTCACATTACCAAGAATAAATAAATGGCCTGAATAGCTCTATAGCTATTAAAGAAATTAAATATGTAATTATAAACTTTCCCATAAAAAAATTACAGGCCCAGTGTCTTCACTGGTGAATTTTATCAAATGTTTGAGAAAGAAATAATGCCAATCCCACACAAGCTATTCCAGAAAATAGAAGAGGCGGGAATACTTTCCAACTCATTCTATGAGACCAGTGTTACTGTGATACAAAATCAGAAAAAGACATTACAATTCAGAATTGGTTTATCCTTTAAAATGAATGGATATAATTCATGATATTAGCAAATGAAAATGGAAAGACAATAAGATCTTCTCAATATATTAAAAAAAGCATTTAACAAAATCCATATCCACTCTTGATAAAAAGCTCTCATCAAAGTACTAATATGAAGGAAAAATTGCTCAAGCTGATAAAAGGCATCTGTGAAAAAAATCTACAGCTAACATCGTGTTTATCTGTGAGAGACTGAATATTTTCCTCTTAAGGGCTAGCCAGTCAGCTCAGTTGGTTAGAGTGCAGCCTTATAATACCCAGGTCAGGGGTTCAGATCCCCATACCCTCCAGCCACCAAAAAACCCCACAAAAAACAAAGATCATGATGTATGCTCTCACCAATCCTATTTAACATTGAACTGGTTGGAGATTCTAGCCAGTGCAATAAGGCAAGAAAAAGAAATAAAACCATGCAGATTATAAATGAAAAAGTGTCTTTATTTATAGATAGTCTGATTGTCTTTGTAAAAAATCTCATGGGATCTACAGAAAAGCTTAGCACATTTACCAAATTAAGTTTAGCAAGTTTTGCAAGGTTGCAGAATACAAGATCAAAATACAAAAATCAAATACATACTAGCAACAAACCATGGAAAATAGAAATTAAAAAAAAACCATTTGCAATAGTATCAGAACCATGAAATACTTTGGGATAAATCTGACAGAAGATGTGTAAGACTTGAACACCCAAAACTACAAAATATTGCTTAAAGATATTGAAGATTAAAAAAAAAAAAAAGGAAAGAGGTATTGTGGTCTTGATTGGAGGATTTAATATTGCTAATATGTTAATTTTCCCACAATTTATCTATAGATTCAATGTAATCCAAATTACAGTCCCAGGAGTCTTTTTAAAAATAGAGCCTTTATTAACTACTTCACTATACTGTGTTCTTTTTAAATCATCTTTCCTTCAGTTAGAATAGTCTTCAAATATGAGGAAGAGATGGTAGATGTAGTAGGGAAATTAATTATTCTCTTTATAGACTGGGATGGCAATAACAGAGGAAACTTAACTGTTCTCCCCAGGGGTGGAGAGTTTCCATGGCAACTTTCACTCCTGAAAGACTTTCCATAATAATAGCTCTATGGGTGTTTTAGTATTTTAGGTGTTCTGTGCTGTACTTACTTTGCTAGTATTAGAGAGATATTGATATATGATGGAACAAAAATCATTTTCTTATTGGTAAGTATTCCATCTATCAGACTTCTTGCAACTTCATCTGTTTCCAGTACAGGCCATAATCTGTGATTAAAAAGAAAAAAGTTTTATTTTTATTTTCTAAAATTTTAATTTTTTTATTATTGAAAGCAGAAAAATTAACCTATCTTTTCACAAATTTAGAATTAGGATTTTAAATGTTCCAAGATTCGCTGCACAAAGGCCACCTTCCCTTCTTCCTATACATCCCATGTTGATGTTTTGTTATCACAATTTTATACTTTCATATCCAAAGGTGTGTTTCACGGCCTGCTCAGTCAAAATATCAAAATGGTGGTGAGGTATTAGATGGAAAAGAATAGAGAAGCCAGGCAAGAAGAGAAGTGGGAAGGATTAATCATGGCACAGGTAAGAAACACCTGACACCCCAAGGCCTGTTGGACACAAGGAGAAAATTCTATAGCTAAGTATACTTCTTTCTTGTGGAGGTATTATATAATGCCAAATTGTTTTGAGGGCATTTGGCACTTGAGATTAAACTCTGATTTGCCTATCCCACAGTTTAATAAGAATTTAAAATGTGCACAAGGGGTATCACATCACAACTGGAGGCATGACCTTCCTTATACTGAAGACTGTGTACGTGTATTCTTTAGAAATACTCATAACCACAAGCCCAGTGTAAAATGGCCCATCAGTGCAATATAATGACAGAAACTTAAAACATAAATGGATTTAAAATCTTGTACCAAAGTTAAGATGTCTAGGCATGGGCTGAAAGCCAGTGAATAAAAAGGTTGATTAGAGGAGTTAAGTAATCAGTGAGTGTTAAAACTTCATTCTCTGAGATATGCTGTGGTTTACTGCAGATTATTATGTGATTGAGATTTCCCTGGCACTGAATAGCAAGCCAGCAGAGAGTAATACAAATCAATACTTTTAGAAATTATTGGGTTTGGCCTCTTCCCTCCCTGATTCACCTTTCTGGTTCCATCAACCCAGTCCATTAAGTGTGATTTTAGCATAGCCCTTGCTGCAGAAATTCAAAATTCAGCAGCCCGGATGAGATAAATACCAAATCTTTATCAATAGCTGTGTCTGCGCCTAGGGTCGCCCCAGGTACCCACACCACCCAGGTCACATTATCCTTACTCTTCTCATCTATTGTGCTTTCCCAAGAGTGCAAGGTACTCTTATGTACCTTGTTTTATGCAAAACTCCTTATGCACTAAACCTGAATGCTTACCGAGAGGATTTTTATTGAACCCAGTTCCCTCTCTGAGAAAACAGCCAGGAGTCACAGTGATACCATAGTACTTACATATTGCATACTTGTGAAGTACCTATGGTCTAATACCCTTAAGGACTCAGTGGCAGAGTGACTCCAGCTGCAGAGGCAACACAGCTAACTCAGAGTTTAAGAGTCAGTTGCCTCAAATGAGGCTGAGCCAAGAACATAGTTCATTTGAACGAATATATTCAGGACGACTTCCCTTCCACTAATAAATTGGTTTCTGACCAACAAGCTTAGCATATATTTTTTAACCTGGGGCAAATTCGTGAAGCAGATGGCTTAATCCTAGGGCCCTTGTCCTTACCTTTCTGCTTTTTTCTTCCCCTTTCAGGACCAATTTCTCCTCTCTTATGGTCTCAAATCCTCTTTCACCAGAGACAAAGTTCTGGCAGAAATTCACATTGACTAAGGAGCTAGGGACTCATTTTTTTGCTGCTCCTAGGAACATTTGCATTTTTAAGGCTCGCGTGGTAACAATGATCAAAAGCAGGTGGTTATATTTAATATAACCAATGTTTTCCAAACCTGTCTCCAGACTCACCTGGTGTGTTTGTAAAACAAAGCAAGACACCTTATTCTTGGAGCTTGCCCCAGCCTACTGAATCAGAATCTCTAAGGAAGAACCTATGAATATTTATTTTTTATGTAAGCATAAGTGGTAATTCTTAGGATCAGGCAATATTTGAAAACTTTGGAGTACTTTGTTAGCATTGTGGCCAGTGCTGTGGAAGAGTTTTCTACACCCATTCCTTTCCATACTCTATTTGACAGGATGGACCACTAATGCAGGAGGGGGATGTTAGGTATCATTCATTTTGGAGGTGTGGTTTCCAGGGGAGGAGACTCTCGCTTTTCCCCTAAACACACCCCTCCAGCCCACCCTGCCCCACTCCCACTCACTCTTGGCTACTGAGTGTGTGTTAATCTTTTCCTGGACACAGATAAATACCCAGTTGCCTAATTTACTGGTATCTGATTATTCCTGCTAGTCCCTTATGTGTCTTTTTGCTTTTATTCATTTAATTTCAAAGAGAAAACTTAAAGCCAATACAATAATATTAATAAGAAAAAATATTTTTCCTTTTTCATTTTTTCCCTATATTCTCAGTTTGCCCACCTAAATCTTTCTCATATAGTTTTTATATCAATTTCTCATGCCATATTGCCATCCTAACTTGATTTTGACCTCACCTTGTGCTTGGGTTTTTGGTGAACCCAGTATTCACAAAAACTGGGCAGAGACATGATGTTTTGATACCAGTTTTTCCCAAGGCTTGAAGTTCTGATGTCAGAGCTCTGTGAAAGCCAACAGCAGCAAATTTGCTGGAACTGTAAGGAATTAGTAACCATCATTAGCTAAGGGACAGTGAGACACAGTCCTCAGCTTCCTGTGAGAAGGCAGTATCATTTAGTTTGAAAACAAGTAGAAGCTGAACTTCCCAAATTATCTGCTTGTGATGTTTCTGGGAGGATAAACGGCCATTCATTTTCATTTACACTTTTGTATGATTAAACAGAATTCTGAATGTACCCAATTTCTTAACTAGCAGTGACAGCAGCAGCAGCAGAACTCTGTTAACTGACAATGCTCATTTTCTACCTACCCTACATATAAGGTTTTCCATTCAATCTTCAAACTGTTTTCTAATCAGTTTTTATTGCCATTTTTATTTTGAAAAATATGAATCAGGAAAAGCATATTTAGAAATACTACAAAACTAATATCTGTTCAGACAAAACTCCATGGGACTCTGCACATTTATCCTCTTTTGATGACTGATAGTTTCTTTCTTGATGCTGGTTGCCACTTTGGCTTCTTAATTTCATATGAGGATCTGGAGAAGACTTCAAATATATCTTTAGAGACTCCCACCTCCTTCCCTTTATGTCCTTGGTAGGGGAGGAGTATGGTATTTACATCTTTTAATCAGGTAGAAGTTTCTCTGTCTGTCTGTCTCACACACACACACACACACACACACACACACACACACACACACACAGACTCTCATAGCACAAGCACACAGGAAAATGTTTTCTGTTTTTGTTTTTGGTGGCTGGCTGGTACAGGGATCAAGCCCTGGACCTTGGTGTTACCAGCACCACCCTCTCACCAACTAAGCTAACCAGCCAGGCTTGGAAAATGTTTTGATCCAGGGGCCACTCTGGTTGGCTTATCTTGGGCACCTAGGCCATGACTTAGATTTGTGTTCATTTTAACTTCTGTATGTTTTGCTTCTTATTTGGTGAGTTTCCTGTTTCAAACATCTGTTCATTCTAGGATACAATGGAAACATGCCTGGCATTACTGTTTTCTTTCATTGATCTACTGAGAAGTTTTCAGAAATCTAAAAATATTTAAAATATAATTACAATCAGATTCATTGTTTTAGAAGTCACTAAAAATTTTTATTCTAGGGGCCGGCCCGGTGGCGCACTGGATAAGTGTGCCACTTGGGAAGCGTGGTGGGCGCTCCCGCCCGAGGGTTCGGATCCCACATACAGACCGGTTCCCGCTCACTGGCTGAGCGAGGCGCGGGAGCAACGCCGAGGGTTGCAATCCCGTTGCCGGACACGGAAAAAGACAAAAAAAAAAAAAAATTTTTATTCTAAACTACTATATAAATTCTACAAATCCAAATTACCCTGATATGAGCATTAGGATCTGAAGTCTAGTAATCCCTTAAAAGTATAAAAATATATAGCACTGCTGGCAAGTAATACTTACCAGTACGGGATGAGATAAGGAATCACTTCGTGGCCGCACACTGAAGCCACTGTGACAATGTGGCCATGATTTCTCTTCATCATTGATGGAAGAAGTGCTTTTGTGATCTTAAGTATCATTGCAGAAAGAAGAGAAACAATGACACAGGCATTAGATTTCCAAATCAGGTAGTTTTATTTTTGTTAAGACAGACTAGCATTTGAGAGAATTTTTACAATGAAATGAAATACTTGCCAAGATTCCACGATTACTTCCACATAAATGATAGAAATGAAAAAGGTAAATTTATTGGTTTGAGCTGGCATTGAGTGCTGTACCCTGTATATGACATGCCAAGAACCCATCTTAATATTCTCTCTTCTTCCCATCAGAAGGAATAAAATAGCTCCTTTTGGGATATGTGATCTAAACAATACTACAAAGTGAAAAATTCAGAGTTTTTAGAACTGAAAGAATTCCCTATGATTATCTGGTATTGTGTAATTTTTTGATTTGAGACTTTATCATTCTAATTAGAAGAGCTGAAATCTGGTGTATTTGTGTCAGGACAGTTGAGTAGAATAAGCCAAGAGTTCTATACTGACCCATAATCATTATGCATCATGATTAGATTCAGTATCTCTCTATCTGTAACATTGTGTATTATATGTCGATGTTATAGGAAACAAAAAAGTCTCTCTTTTTCTCCAAAAAGGGTTACCTTTTTGTGAGAAATAATCATATTTTATGAGAATTTTATAGACTTTATGCAAATTCACAGAGCCAGAAATGCTAAACCAAGCCACCTCCAAATTCCTGACCCACAGAAACTATGAGAGGATATTAAACATTTATCATAGCTTTAAACCACTAAGTTCTGGCATAATTTGTAATGCAGCTATAGATAACAAATATATTAGGTCTCCATATAGTTCGGTGGGATGATAACCAATTCACATTAGCATGTGTGAGGGGCTGGAGAAGATAGAGGGGACACATGTCTTTTTTTTTCCTTCTCTTTTCCAGATTCCAGATTTGCCCTAGGTTCTACACTAACATTGAGGCTCTGGAAGACTAATTAATAAAAATGCTCTCTATAAAGGCAGTTAAAATTGATATTCCAGTCTCCCACAAAACTAAGCAGAGGTTTTCACCTCTGGATGGGACTCTGAGACAAGGTCTAGATCCATGGGATATAGGAACTTAAAAATGCGACTACACAGACCTCTTACAAGAGGCTGTGTGTTAGATACTGATGAATATGGTAGACTAAGTTGTTTATATTTTGGTGTGTTGTGTCCACTCAAACTCTGTGCCCTTCTGTCAACAGACGCCATGGCTCATCTACTGAAATTTGATGTTTCTTGATTTAAGGCAAAGATCTGGCCAGTTTCCCACCCAAAAGTATGTAAACTCAATTATGAACTTTATGTACCTTAAGAGAAGGTGTAAGACATGCACAAACAAGAAATGTTTCTGACTCACACTCACCCAAAAATGTCCTAGGATGTTGACCTCAAATGTTTTTATAATCTCTTCATCTCTGGTACTAAGAAGATCGGCTGGATATATTGTCCCAGCATTATTCACCACAATGGTTACATCACCCACTTCTTTCTTTACCTTTTGAAATTAAAAGAATACCTTCATTGAGTGTTTTATACAAATTCAAAGTTTTGGGGTCAATATCATTCATGGATTAGGTTTTTTATTCTACTGAGTGAGGTCTCTCAGAGTTCAGGCAGGAAAGAGCTTCTAGCTCAGATAATAGATGCAGAGGGACCACTGTAATACAGGTGGGCTAAACTGTGCTTCTTTTTTTTAACATCTCAATTTCAGTACCCAGGACATCATGGATTTTGAAAACTTATTAATAAAGTAAAATTAATATTTGTATTGATAAATTGATATGTTATGACCAAATATTTTTAAAGTTGCTGATTGAATAATCCTGGTTCCACAACCTACTAGCTACCTGACCTTGCTCTGACTTAACCTCTCTGATCCTTAATTTGCTTATCATTAAAATGTTGTTAATAGGATTATTGTAGAGATTAAATTGAAAATGCAATAGTTTATTGGGTTGCTTTGTTCATAGTGCGCATTTGATATTTACTCTTTTTAAAAATTGTTATAATAATTGTTAATGTTGCATTTTTTATAGAGGACTAGATTAGCACCAAGATAAATAAAATCCCAAAAAGGAAATAATTAAAGAAGAAAAGGAACAACTGTAAAAGTAACAGGACTAAAACAAAACTAGAAAGTGATTCATATTTCCTGGTGATAAATCTTTTGTCAGTCACTCTGTGCCACTGCTCAAACTTATGATGAGAAAGAAATTGATTAACAGTATGAAACAATAACAATTGGCAGAGCTGAGTGGATTATATTCAAGGAAAACAGCGTGTGTTCTTCTTTGGTCACATAACTACTTCAGTTAATAGCAGCAAAAATCTAATTTAAATCAGGCAGTCATAAAGAACCTTTTCATTTTCCATGTCAGTGGCAGTAGATCCAAAATCATCTGAAGAAATCTGTGACCTGAAGTCTCACCTGATTTACAGAGCTGTAAATCTCTTCTCTGTTGCTACAGTCGACCACAAACGCACGTGCGGTGACCCCTAGCTTTCGGCATTCAGCTGCGGTTTCCTCAACACTGTGCTGTAATCGGAAAAAACGAATTCAGGGGGAAAGAAAGCATTGGAGAAGAAATTTTTTTAAACGATTAAAATTCATGTCCAAAATACGTCCTTATTTGTACGAAAATTTTCTGAGAAAGACTGCTTGCCTAATTTGAAATGAAATTATACCTGACTTTTCTGCCAGGGAATGCTCATATTAACACCATAGCAAACAAAACAAAACCTCAAAAAATAAAAAACAAAAATAAAAAAACCCTTTGTTTTTCCAGCTTTTCATCTTGGTTTGGAAGTTCTCCAGTAAGCAGTTTCTCTGTAACAAGCTACTTTGTAGCTTGAAGAACATTCTTGAAGGATGTTGTTCTTTGCGGTGTCATGGAAGGAATGTTTGAGCACGGAGAAGAAAGGAAAACTCAACGATTCATTTAACACACACTTGTTGAGCACCAACAACATCATAGGCAGTAAAGTGCTAAATAGCAATTCTAAACTAGCGGTAATTTTGAACTGTGCCTCTGCCTATCGTACTTTTCTCAATGATTCTGATTTATCCCTCTAGTAGAGAGGAGGAAAAAACGATTCCTATTTGAGAAAGACTTTCATAGGGAGACCATGCTACTACTCTAGGAGATATAATATAATCTTCAGGTGTTTGGGAGTGAAAATGGGCAAGGGCCACTGGATGGATTCTCATTTA